GAAGAAAAATAGGGGTACAAATTAATCTTAAGAGTATATATATATGGAAGTAATTTTTATGAGGAGTGCATCGAGTTGCTCCAAAAGGCAAGCTCCTACGAACACCAGCTAGATCAGGCACTAAGGGCACATCAGTGTCCTGCTCCGGCACAGTGAGTGCAGGACATTTCCAAACTATCCTTGCTGGGTCATATTGGGCAAGGAAGTCAATTACTGAATACCAAATATTCAATCTTGCTCAGAATGTAAACTGAAAGGTGCATTATTCCATGCCTGACCTGACACAAAGACACTGCCAAGCTGTGCCCTTGTAAAACTACTGAATAACTTACTAAACCACAACCTCTAACCAGGTGCCAGCACCCACACCACAACAAACCCATCCAACCCCACCTCCCCACATTTCACCTGAATCCAAGGCTAAAAAACCACCATTGAATGTGATGAAATGCTAACTTCTGGGTGAGCCCCTGTGGCTCATATACCCATCATATACTGATAGGGTACTGTAATATTTCTAAATATCTTATTCATTAGATTACATTCATTTGTTCTTGTTATAGGGTTCAATATTATGATTATTTGTAATTTAATAAGATTAAAATTAGTTAATCAATAAACAGCCAGAAATGCACATTATATATGATGTAATTAGATGAGAGATTGGTAGTGGTCAAATAAATCAGAGCAGACTGTTATCGTATGATCAGTTGAGGCTATTCTGAGGCACCATGGGAACATAAATTCAACTGAAAACTAGACTGGTTAGAGGAGATTACATTGGCGTTTGATCTTGGGAAATTGCCCCAGATAAGTCTATTTATGTGTACATCCTGGGCCACCTATCTACTTTGATAACTGTGCCTTGCAACTCCAGGCATACTCCACAGTTCTTATGTATAGTGGGAGTAAACTTTGAGAGCATCTTTGATGTACTGTTGGCAAGGGATATTTTTAAGGGTACTTCCTTCAGAGGTTTAGGGCTTGCCCGAGTCTCTTGTTTGTGGTACCTCTGCCCAAAGGGGATTACTGAGCATTAATGTAAATGTCAAAAGGCAGCACTAAGGGTTTTGTTTTGGGTAAAGGGAATATTGTGAAGCTTAAATTGTAAAGAATTAATATAGTGTAGTCCTTGTGTCCAGTGTGGAGTGGGCTGACATACTCTCAACAGATTAATTTGTGGGATTATTTCCCTTGGGGGCCAGGCCTTGACTCAGCCCACCTGGAGGGTGTGTTATATGGTATGTTTGTAAGTAATGAGGTAATAAGCCCTGGAACACAGCATTGTGGTAGGCTGACTTTGAGTGTACCACAACAAGTATCATAGTATCATCCCACCACTCATAACAGTGGAGTAAACCAAATCCAGTGCAAGGTCAAGAGGATGCAGCTATAAGATCGAAGGGAAGACAGCATTGCCAGTTCAGTTCCAACTCCCACACCAGACACTATAAGCCATGTTACAGAGCAGACAGCCATTTCCAGCCTCATTCAAGCCCTCTGCTCTCGCCCTCCTTCGAGCTCTCAAATCCCAGCACCGCTCAAGCTCTCTGCTTTAGACTTCATTTGAGCTTTTCTCTCCAAGCCTCACACTAGCTCTCCATTTCCTAGCCACCTTCAGCACTATATCCTACCCGACTCTGCCAGCAGCATGTAGCAAGCATCGTCGTTTCAACCTATCACAACACTGCCATACCATTTCTAATATCCAACTGCTGTAACCAAAATTTATTAAATAAACATAAAACATCACTATACTTTTTGAATATTGTCACCCAAAACCATGTATGTTACGGTACTATTGGCTTTGTGCTAATTTTGGACGTTTCTCTTGTTCAGTGTGAATAGTTTGGCATTTTCGAGGTTTTGATCTTTGTTAACCCTCCAGTTGTCTGTAAAGCTTTGCTGACCTTCTGGATACTCAGCTGGTGTGGTGGCAAATTATCACATGCTCTCTATTCCTCTGTGAGGGAGGCCAGGTTTCAGCTCCTCTTCTCAAGAAGCTTGTGTCTGATGCTACCTAATTGCATAGAACAATCTCGGGGAGATAGTTTCAGGGAGCCATCAGAGGGCACCCTCCAGAAAATCCTCAGGAATAATGGGTGGGCTTTTGACAAGCTGCTAGCTTCTGGTCACAACCAAGGCCAACAAAGATGGTGGCCCTCTGGTAAATTCAAGAAAATACTGTATAAGTTACCATGATCTAAAATTGCACTACCCCATAGGACTGTAACCAACATATACAGTATATAATTTGTATATAATTTTAAGAGTTAGATAAGAGTTCAATAATTCTCAGGTTAATTCTTAAAATGCTCAGTAGTACAGTTGGGTTCAATCTCGACTAACAATCAGAAATCCTAGGTTCGAATCCCAGGTGGGATAGAAATGGTTGTGAACGTTTCCTTACCCTTAATGCTGCTGTTCACCTAGCACTCAATAGGTATCTGGGATTTAGTCAAATGTTGTGGATTTGCATCCTGGGGAGGGTCAGTAGTTTGACCTTGGGGCCCCCCTTGATACTAATCTAATGTATATACATACATAGGCTACCTGTCCCACAACAAAACAAATTATTAAACATTGCTAGCATTAAAATATGGCCTGCTACCCATAAAAAAAAAGGGCACAGTATTGAAATTTTTTAGAAAACTAAATAAAAAGTGGTTATAGGAAAAACTGGTTGATTATTCTGTACTTCAACCAGCCAGTCAGCTTAGTGCAAATGTCGTTGGCATGATATATACAGAAATTTAATTTGGTTCATAGATGCAAGACCACACATGCACTATGGAGGCCTGTTTTCTACCTAAATTAGTAACTGTTTAATCTAATTAATGTAATGAAACAAAGCCCCATAAAAAAACTAGTCAAACTGATAAAGAAGCATTAAAGATCTCTGGTTGGAATTTATATTGGCCCTAAAACTATGCTCTAAAAACTGACGGCTGAATCGCTGGGCTACAAGTGAATGAAACAATGTGCCATACATCATCATTAAACATACAGCCTAGGCTACCTTGGAAGGTTTTAAACAGAAGATGGGAAAGGCACTGAAAACAACATAGTATTACAAAATGAACTTGTGTTACAAGATCCTCCAGCCCTACTGCAGAGTTCCTAATTATTGTATATTTGTCTCCAAATAGTGTACGGCACTGGCCCATCAGCCTATATTTGATACATTCATGATCCTTAGACTAGGCAGGCCTCCAGTTATCCTATTTCGGTTAATATTGTTTCTAAATAATACAAGTTTTTGCACTTCCGAGTAATTCATGACAAAGGTTCACGTTGGGCACGAGCCGATTCGACAAGACGGCATCTGTGAAGGGTAGAGGCAGGGAAGATTATTTTAGAAGACCAATCAATAGGATGATTAGAATCCCTAACATGACAGAAGAGCATTGTTTGTGTCTGCAGACTTAACACTTTTTTTTTTGTGTTCCTTAAGTCTGTCATTCAGTGTATGACGAGTTCCCCAAAGTATTGGAGAGGACAAGATGAACAGGAAATGGTAAGAAAGATAGTACAGGAAAGGAAATAGTATAGAAAAGGAAATTGAAGACATCAGCAGCATCGGAAGCAGGAGGAGCAGTGTGAACCAGATTACTACGCAGTGTTTATTTGTCAAAAGGTGAGTTTTACATCGAGAGGATGAAAGGTATTTGTGAGATTTTTTGAGTTCAGACATAAAAGGAAGGCACAGCACAGTGGTACTGGTGTTCGAAACAGGTTTGGGATAAACAAAATTTCATTTCATTTGAGAATAGGCACATTTTATAAAATGCAAAGGGGGGTATCTACAGTGAGAGAAAGACTTGTAAATAAAAAAAAATTCAGAATCGAGAACCTGAACTCAAAAAATTTCACCGATACCTTTCATCCTCTTGAGGTAAAACTCACCTTTCAACACACTAACACAATATGTGGTACTCAGAGTCACACTGCTCCTCCTGCTTCCATCGTGACAAAGGTTCTTCACTGGTATTGCAGCACAGACTCTGAAATGTATCAAGGGGGGGGCCCCGACACTAGTGAGTTATACACCTAGTCCTGTGGGACACAGGTAACTTTGTACCCACAATGGTCTGCCAGCAGATTTTAAAACTTACCTGATCTAACTTTACCTAACTTAATGCAACCTTACATAACCCAGACTAAGCTAACCTAGTCTAACAATACATTGTATTTTAACAATTTGAAAATGCGTTTCGTCAAAATGCCCGTGTACAGAATGACCTCACACCATTCTATCCTAGGGTAGGTTGTAATAATAATAATAATAATAATAATAATAATAATAATAATAATAATAATAATAATAATAATAATAATAATAATAATGTTTATTTAAAGGAATACTACATACATATTATATGCATAAATGGTTTCAAACATGTATGGTCTGGAGGTTTCAAGTAACACAAGCACCGTGCCTTAAACAGGCACCGCTAATACACACCGTTTCCCGCATAATATAAAATTAAGATAAGAAATATAACACAAATATATACATGCCCGAAACGCTATGCGTACTAGTGGCTTTAGGTATTGTATGTATTACTTCCATCTATAAATCCAACATCATGTTTGTAACTCATCTATGTATGTACTTTTCCTGAATAAAAAATTTGAATTTGAATTTAGAATTTGACAAGCATAATTTGGAAAATTTAAAGGAGCTTAATTAATAAGCTTAATTATTTACATATAGTATATAATATATAATTTAAATAATAAATAAATAATTGAGATAAGTTTAGGGAAAGAAATTTGAATTAGAAAATGATTGAGAATTATTACATGACTTGGAAACTGCCAACTTTGGCCTGTGTCTGTCATACCCTGTCACCTGTCACGGCTGTCACCTGTCACGGCCGTCACCTGTCACGGCTGTCACCCGTCACGGCTGTCTATACTGTTTAAAAAAGAATTCCCAAAGCTATATTCCTGTGCGAGAGGTGAGGCAGAAGCGGTGAGAGGCGCTGGAGACTTACACCAGGTGCAGGTGTGTGTGTCTACCTTCCACCACGGCAGGTTTGGTGTCCTGGTGTGGCACCAGAGGCGTCTTGGGGCAGGTGTGTGGCAGGTGTGGGGCACGGGAGCTGGTGAAGCTGAGAGCTGGTGAGGCTGGTGACGCGTCCACACGTGTGTACCGTACTACCGTGGCTACCACAACAACACCAGCTGCCGCTCCCCCTGCCGCACCCCTCTCTTATAAATAAATAAATAATAAATAAATGTTTATTCGGGTAAGGTACATACATACAAGAGGTTTTAGAAAAATTGATGGATTTATAGATAGAGCTAGTACATACAATGCCTAAAGCCACTATTACGCAAAGTGTTTCGGGCAGGAAAAACATTAAAGACTAAAACTTAATACTAATTGAGATTAAAGTATAAAATGTGTTGAGAACAATTAAAAATAAAAATAAAAAAGGAGGGAACATGGCTGAAAAAGCAGCACAAATACAATTAGGTCGACAAACAGCATTGTTTAAAAAAAAAAACAGACATGGGTTGACAATAGAGGGGTAAGCTAAGGTACGTAGGTTACAGGGAATTTATTAGGTAGTGCTTCGTTTTTATCTTAAACTGGTTGAGAGAGGTACAGTCTTTAACATGGTTGGGAAGGTCATTCCACATTCTGGGTCCCTTGATTTGTAGAGCATTTCTAGTTTGATTAAGTCGTACTCTTGGAATATCAAAACTGTATTTATTTCTGGTGCGGTGCTCATGGGTTCTGTTACAACCTTCAATGAAGCTTTTGAGGTCAGGATTGGCATTACAGTTTAGCGTTTTATATATGTATAATACACATGAGAGAATATGCAGTGACTTAATGTCTAACATATTCAGAGATTTGAGTAGGGGTACTGAGTGATGTCTGGGGCCAGAGTTGGATATTGTCCTAATAGCAGCTTTGTGTTGAGTAATTAGAGGACGTAAATGATTTTGGGTAGTAGAACCCCAAGCACAAATACCATAGTTGAGATATGGATAGATGAGGGAGTAATAGAGCGTTCCCAGGGCAGGCGAGGTACATATCTGATCTTAGAAAGAATGCCAACAGTTTTTCAAACTTTTTTGATATATTTAGAATGTGTCCCTGGAAATTCAGCTTGTGGTCAATGAGAACGCCAAGGAAATGCCATCTATTTTGTTACAAATTTGGGTATTGTTTATCCTGAGATTTATTTGATCAGAGGATTTATTGCCAAACAGAATATAGAAAGTTTTGTCAGTGCTAAGGGTGAGTTTGTTGGCCGTTAGCCAAAGATGGACTTTATTTAGCTCAGTATTTACTGTGGCATTTAAAGCAAGGAGTCAGGACTGGAGTAAATGAAGGTTGTGTCGTCAGCAAATAGAATTGATTTGAGGTGTTGGGAGGCATTTGGAAGGTCATTAATGTAGATGAGAAAGAGGAGAGGGCCAAGTATGCTGCCCTGAGGAACACCAATGTTGATGGGTAGGGTGGGAGAAATTAAATTATTCACAGAAACATACTGGAGCCTGTCAGTAAGGTAAGATTTGAGGTATTGCAGGGAGTGTCCTCTGACTCCATAATGATGTAATTTAAGAAAAAGGTTTTGGTGATTGACAGTGTCAAAAGCCTTACGCAGGTCCACAAATAACCCAACAGGGAACTAATTTTTATCAAGAGTCGCATGAATCAAGTTAATCATACTAATAAGTGCATCGTTAGTGCTTTTTTTTGGTCTAAAGCCATATTGACAAGAGCTAAGTATATTGTGTTTGGCTAGATAAGAGTAAAGCTACTTGTAGATTAGATTTTCAAATATTTTTGACAAGTTAGGCAGGATTGATATAGGTCTGTAGTTGTTAACATCTGTGAGATCACCACATTTGTGGACAGGGGTTACTCTCGCTTTTTTTTAGAATATCTGGAAAGGTTTGGAGTTCAAGTGACTTGTTGAAGAGCAATGCAATAGCAGGGGCTAAAGATCTGGAGGCTTTTTTGTAAATTAAAGTTGGTATTTCCTCAAGGGCACCAGACTTGGTTTTAAGGGAAAGAATTATCTCATTAACATCAGTGGAATTTGTAGGCTTTAGGTACAGAGACTGTGGATAGTTACCTGTAAGATAGTCCTTAACATCAGTACTGGAAGATGGAATGTCATTTGCAAGGGATGACCTAATGGAAGAGAAGACCCTATTGAACTCAATAGCAGAATCAGAGGCTGAAAGCTGACCATCGTTATTGGACAGGAGTGTTGGTTTGTTATTTAAAATCTTCTTTGATCCCAATATTTGTGAAATTGTGCTCCAAGTTATTTTAATGTTGCTCTTTGCTTGGGTAAATTTATCATCGTAGTATTTAGTATTGGCTCGTCTAATTATTTTAGATAGCAATAACGAGTAATTCTTTGGAGACGGTTCCTAATTTATACTTCTTCTCAAGGTCATGTTTTTTATTAATGGATTTAAGTATTCCCTTTATAAGCCAAGGATTGTTTAGCCTTTTGGTTGTGACTTGTTTCGTTGGCATAGGACAGTGGGTGTTATAAAGGCTGAGAGTTTTTTGAAGAAAAGATTGCACTGCTAGGTTGATGTCCCTTATGTTACCTAACTCAGACTCTCAGTTGACATTAGCAGCAGCAGTTTTAAAATTGTCTATAGCAGTTTCATTGTGCAGCCTAAAGCTTAACTCCCTTGTCTGTAGAGGTGGTTTGTTAATGTTAGTTAAGAGAAATGTGGGGTAATGGTCTGTAGTGCTATCGGTGATTATATCTGAAGTAAATAAATAAATAAATAATAAATGTTTATTTAGGTAAGGTACATACATACAAGAGATTTTACAAAGTTTGTTGGATTAACAGATAGAGCTAGTACATGCAATACCTAAAGCCACTATTACGCAAAGCGTTTCGGGCAAGCGTTTCGAAGTAAGCGGAGAGGTTATGTTGGTCCAGATGTGATCTAGAGTCGTGGCAGTACTATCAGTGATTCTAGTAGGTCTAGTGATTAAGGGTATGAGGTTGCAGGAATTCATACAGTTGAGGAAGCTAACAGCAGTAGGGTGTTCAGGCTCGCAGAGGTCAGTATTGTAGCGAGTAGATTATCCCAATAATATACTCGCTCCAAATGCATTGTTAATATTCCTGACAACCTTTGGAGATGAATGAGGTGAGGCGTTGCCCGGGCAACACGGTGAGGTGTTGCCCGAGCATATATAAGCAGCAGAATAGCAAAACATTAACACCCTAACACCGAGGCTCCACTTGGTCCGGGAGACATCTCCCGTCACGCAGGGTGCAGTCGCGCCTCCACAGATCTCCAGTATCAGCTCTTGATACTGGTAATGGCTCAAAAGGGCCACCACTTACGAGCTATTCATGCCCGTGCCACCTTTTAGGTGGCTTCATCTTTATCAATCAATTCAATCTGTTTAAATCACGGAGGACATCTTCCGTCACGCAGGGTGCAGTCGCACCTCCACAGATCTCCAGTATCATCTATTGATACTGGTGATGGCTCAAAAGGGCCACCACTTACGAGCTATTCATGCCAGTGCCACCTTTCGGGTGGCTTCATCTTCATAACACATTCACAAGGGAGACATCTCCCGCCATGCAGGGTGCATTCGCACCTCCACAGATCTCCAGTATCAGCTCTTGATACTGGTAATGGCTCAAAAGGGCCACCACTTACGGGCTATTCATGCCCGTGCCACCTTTTGGGTGGCTTAATCTTCATCATCATCATCATCATAAAACATTAACTAGTCTACTTTCAAGTGTGGTCTAGAGCAGACACTTGCGAGATACTGTACCGACGCTCAGTGCGCTCAACTCATACCAAAGTATCACCTGTGTACTTCTGTATATTCGACCAAATATATATATAGTATCTTAGTGTCTGTGTTTATTGTCACCATACTTTACGTAACAATAGAACCGTTACAGTATTAAAGTCCCCTGCGATAATTAGATGGTTTTTGTTCAGTCTGTTATCTAGTATTAGATTTCTAAGGTTAGAGTTGAATTCGGACACATCAGTGTTAGGAATTCTATAGACTGCACCCACAGACAGGACAGACTCGGCACCCTTGACTCTGAAACTGGCGAAGATATACTCCCCACAGCGCAGTCTCTAGTTCTAATTACTTTTAAGCATGTTAGTTCTTGGTGGTAGTAAAGAGCAGTACCACCACCTCTCTGAAATTGATGACAGTTGTGAATTGCCGAGTAGTTAGGCATATTAAAGAATTGAGTAGTATCCTCTTTCAACCAGCCGGTCGGCCGAGCGGACAGCACACTGGACTTGTGATCCTGTGGTTCCGGGTTCGATCCCGGGCGCCGGCGAGAAACAATGGGCTGAGTTTCTTTCACCCTATGCCCCTGTGTTATAAAATTGGTGGTGCTGCTATGGGGGATCTAATATTAAGGGGGCTTAATTATTACGGGTTTCGTAAAAATTGTTCAATTTGTTTATAAATTTATTTATGAAATGGTTATAGAAAGGGTTGCAACTGGTCCAAGTTTCAGCATCACACCCTAAACAGAAAAGGAGAAAAAAAATACACAACGTCTTATGCAACGAATTTTCAACATTTTCAAATAGTTTCAGGGAACACATGTGTCAACTAAAATCATTTCTATAACACTCAGATATTAAATGTAGCACATAATAAAGGATTGTAGTGATCAGTTTTATCAAAAAAGTGTTTAGTGCAATAATATAATTATTCAAAGTTACCCTTCCAAAAATATGCAATATATGATGTTTATAAATTTTTATAAAATCAACAAATGGACTTTGGACTAAAATGTCTCAATAGGTTTGTAGAAGCACAAACGCTACATATAAAGTGTAATTTGCATGTAAATTGATTAATAAATGAAAGCTCTGAAGTACTTTGAAGGTGTAAATTACTTTCCAGAGTAAAATAAAGATCCAAGTTCGGCCACCTGTAGCTGAGCTTGACTTCAACAGATTTCGTTCATAATTGGCACCCTTGCAGATAGGCATCCATTGAGCTAGGTGTGCAAGTTTCATGCAAATCTCTTGATAACAAACGAGAAAAAAAATTGGCCAAAAAAAAAAAAGAAAAAAAAAAATTACATATAAATATATTGCACATACATATTACAATTATTACAAGAGCTTGTGCTTCTACAGCACATAGTAGACATTTTAGTTGACACATGTGTTCCCTGAGATTAT